GAGCTGGAAATAAGGTAAGCTTTAACCCTTTCTAAGGGGGCAAGACACCTAAATGATGGTTTTAACACTAAAGGGTCAGGAATACTTCTTTTTGTTCCTGACCCTATAGTGTCCCTTTAAATATTAATCAATTTTGATCTACATTGTATACAACATTCAATTGTTGGAAGATGTAGCTTTTCAGATGCCAATCTTCATTATGAGGTTAGTAAAAACACTAATAATTTTATTTGACGTCATACTCAGACTTTTTTATGGTATATTGACAGGTGAGAAGCCGTTCTCCTGTTTCCACTGCGGACGTGGATTTGCTGACCGTTCCAACCTCCGGGCTCACCTGCAGACACACTCCGAAGTCAAGAGGTATATCTGTCCAGGCTGTGGCAAGTCCTTCTCTCGAATTTCTCTTCTCTCTAAGCACCGTGATGGCTGTTGTTGTCCTTTGTCTTGATATTTGGTCTGGGCACTGCTTTATCAGAAATCTGAAAAACAAATTTTTATTTTTTTTTGTAGTAAGGCACAGCAAAGTTTACCAAGTGCCTCTGCCATAGGAAGTCAAATATCACATGAAGACATTTGGGATCATGGAGCACACTAATGAACAGAGGGCTGTGCAAGCTAAGGTAAAGGTCCAAGCTCTGCCCGCTACATGGCTTAATAGCTATTCCTCTGCCTGTGTACCCAAGAAAGTTACGTGATGCACCACAATTTAAAGACTTATTCCACATGTTCTCTTGATAAATGTCCAGTGTGGTCCACATGTTCTCTCCATAAATGTCCAGTGTGGTCTACATGTTCTCTCCATAAATGTCCAGCTTGGTGCCTTCTACATCTATCTAGGCCTGAAGACTGGCCATGGACTAAAATGTAGTCAAAACCAACTAATGGTTTGGACACCACTGTCTTCAAAGATAATCTCGACTGCCTATGCCAGAAGAGGCTTGGCAGTATACGCCATGACACAGAAATGAACAAAGTGTCACATGGCTTCTCTGATTGCCCAGTATTGTAATGAACCATGCTGTGAGAAGCACGAGGTTCCATCTGCCAGCCTATTTGCAAGGGAGCAGCTAATTCCAGGCACGTAGGACACATTTCACATGTAAGTTCTCTGAAGAAACTGGCACTGGGGATGTATATCAATGGTTAAAATCCACAAACTGGACAATGAATCAAAAACGAGACAAAGTCCAAAGCCGCATTTCAGTATTCATAGTAATTTATATTAAAAATAAAACTTGTAATTATCCAAATAGTACAACATTTAAACTCCCACTGACTGACATGGGGTTCTAGTTCCACAGAAGCTAGAATGAGCCATTGCCCTCACTTCACTAAATGGCTTATAACTGATTGCACTGTACCCTAAAACAATTACTTGTTTAAATGTGAATGCAAAAGATAATCTGTATAAAAAGGGTTCTCATTTAAAATAAATATTTTTATAGCTCTGGCCTAGACTGCTTCACTATGACTCTGGCTGTAAGCACAACACTTTTCCCAGAACTCTATCTATCTATCTAATCTATCTAGCTATCTATCTATCTATCTAATCTATCTACCTACCTATCTCTTATATGTATCTATCTATCTACCTACCTACCTACCTCATATGTATGTATCTATCTACCTACCTATCTCTTATATGTATCTATCTATCTATCTCTTATATGTATGTATCTACCTACCTATGTACCACCAAGGTTTGTTTTACTGTGGGTCTTTGTGCATTGTTCCCTTCAATGCAGACACAACTGAGAAATTATAGAAATGATCATAATTATATATGGAATAACAAAAAATATGAATCAATGTGTCAATACACTAACTAGCACATGGCCAAGAAATTAACTAACTAGAAAAATAGAACAATGTTTTGTATGATGTCACGAGTCTGATATTTGGTTGTATAGGGAGAGGTATTAGCAGTAGAAAGAGGGAAGTGCTCATGCCATTGTACAGAACACTGGTGAGTCCTCACTTGGAGTATTGTACACAGTACTGGAGACCGTATCTTCAGAAGGATATTGATACCTTAGAGCAGTGATGGCGAACCTTTTTGAGCCCGAGTGCCCAAACCGCAATACAGGTCAACTTTTTTTTCCTCAAAGTGCGAACACGGCAATTAAACCTGAATACTGAGGTTTAAGTTTAGAAAAAACAACTCATACAGTTGTCCAAACTAATTAGCATATTCTGTTTTAACACAACAACAGAGAGTTCAATGGTACAATTTTTAAATAATGATATAAAATGATATAAATAGATAAAATTAAGCTTTATTTATTAGTATCTCCAACAAATGCAATACATACACACAGACTACTGAACACATTCACACACCGACTGCTTAAAACATACTGTAGCCGAGCAGCAATATTAAATCCCACGATCTCCGCTGGTAAAGAAGGTAATCTACAGTCAGCGCTGAAAAGTAAGGCAATATCCCAAATCCCCCAGTAACCGGACGAGACACAGTTCTGGGAGTCAACTGAGGTCTTTATTCACATGCTCCAGTATTTATGCAATTCCCCATGCAAAGGGTTTCCTGAGTCACATCACAGGGGTATTACAGGAGTGGACGACATGGGAAACTTAAATCACAGAGCATTTCTCCCACCATGCACCACTGTACAAGAGGGATACTCCCACTGGAATATCCTGTTAAGTGGATTATCCCTCCGTACAGCAGAACCGGCTTTTAACATAAAAATACATAACTTTTACAATACTTGGGTGATTTAAACGAATGGACGTTCGGTAGATAGCTGGGGTCTGAGCGCACCGTTCGTGAGAATACCGCTCAGCTCCCAGCTAAAACAACCGAACGCCGCACGAAATACACTTTGCCCATGAGTTCGTCTAAAACTACCGAACACCGTTGGGGAACTATAAAAGGGGAATACCGGAGCTCCCGAAGGGCCTGGAAGTCCAGCGGGGTTCGCGCCGTTGAGTAGCCGATTTCGGCTCCACGCGCTCGACGACCAAACCCCGCTGGTGAGACAAAGGATCCAAGATGGCCGACCGCCGCGTGGTCGGTAGCCGAACGACGGCCACCTAGGAAAGCCTTTAATCACCGATTGCAACACTCGGTTAACGAGCGCCACACGTCCCTCTGTGTGTGGGCTATTAGGGGGTAGCTCATTCGGTTCACGAACAGCCGGTAAAGTTGCTGTTCGTGAAACGAAACACATGAATGCTAGCGGCTTTCGGCTGCTAGCATACGAATTCAAAGTACACATACATTAACACACATTGTAAAGCCAGGTTATACAAGACATTACAGGGGTACTACAGGCAAGCTTTTTATGTGCACAGTCCTGAATATTACAAGTGGCTAGGTTTGCCACAATGTTCCCCCAGAACCAAGCCGGCATACACAGTCTGATCCCAACAGATCGGCTTGGGGATGTCCGGAGGAGAACTCACAGATCACTTCTCAAGTTCCGTTTGTCTAGATAACCCGTCGGCGTTACCGTTTTGTTTTCCCGGCCGATAATGGATTGTAAAGTCAAAAGGCTGCAGCGCCAAATTCCAGCGCAGCAGCCTGGCATTGTCCCCAGCCACACGGTTTAGCCACACCAACGTGTTGTGATCTGTGAGCAGGGAAAAAGGTTGTCCATAGAGATACGGCTGCAACTTTTTAAGGGCCCACACCACGTGGTAACAGTTTGCGGCTTAGATATGCTACGAGGTGTTCTCCGCCATCTGCTCCAACTTGGCTCAGCACTGCTCCCAATCCAAACATTGAAGCATCTGTGTGAACAAGAAAACATTTAGTTGGATCAGGAGCAGCAAGTACAGGTGCCTTAGTTAGAGCCGTCTTGAGTTGGTTAAATGCCTGATCACACTCTGGGGCCCAGACGACCTGTCGGGGCAGATTCTTGCGGATCAGGTCAGTCAGGGGTTTGGCCAGGGTAGTGTAATTGGGCACAAATTTTCTGTAATATCCTGCTGTATCCAGGAAAGCGAGCACTTGGGCCTTGGTCCTAGGGGTGGGCCACTTAGCAACGGCTTCAATTTTGTCTGGTTTGGGTTTTTGTTGCCCGCTTCCCAGCCGGTGGTCCAAGTACTGCACTTCTGCCATCCCTATATGACACTTGCTAGGTTTCAGTGTCAACCCTGCCTCTCCAATACGATCAATAACGGCCCCTATGTGTTGCAGATGCTCTGCCCAGGTCTGGTTATATATGGCGATATCGTCCAGGTATGCGCATGCATATCCTGGAACCCATCCAGTAGCCGATCTACCATCCTTTGAAAGGTCGCCGGGGCATTTTTCATCCCGAAGGGCATGACCCGAAACTGGTACAGGCCAAACGGGGTGACAAACACCGACTTAGGGATGGCATCCTCGGCTAGTGGAATTTGCCAGTATCCCTTACATAGATCTATGGTAGTGAGATACTGGCCTCTTGCCATCTAATCCAGCAGCTCGTCTATACGGGGCATCGGATAGGCATCAGACACCGTTTTGTTGTTTAGCCTCCGGTAGTCAACACAAAAACGTGTTGTGCCATCCTTCTTAGGTACCAGCACTACCGGCGATGCCCAGGGGCTATCGGAATGTTCAATAACCCCTAGCTGCAACATCTCCTCAATCTCTTTCCTCATATGTTCCCTGACTGCTTCAGGGATACAATATGGGGTCTGCCGCATAGGTACCTTTCCAGGGGTCTCGACTCGGTGAGTGGCTAGCGGAGTGTACCCAGGCAAATTGGAGAAGGTGGCTCCTTTAGCCGCTATCAACTCTTGTACCTGGGCTCGCTCCTGAGGGCTTAGCCGCTCCCCCAGTTGAACCCCCGTGGAGGGCTCTGTCTGGTCGTCCTATTCTAATAGGTCAGGTAGCAGCAGGTTCTCCTGATCCTCAGAGGCGGAGGCGCATATTGCTGCCACGTCCTCTATCCTCTCATGATAGGGTTTGAGCATGTTCACGTGGAGCATGCTTCTCTTCCCTACCCCTGAGCAGGGGCCAATCACTTAGGTGGTGTCACATCTCTGTTTCACCACCAGGTTTGGGCCTTGCCAGATGGCCTGCAGCTTGTCGGTGCGGACAGGTTTTAAAATCAACACTTTCTGTCCCACTTGAAAGCTGCAGTCTCCGGCTCCCCTGTCATACCAGCGGCGCTGTCGTTTTTGGGCCGCCTGGAGATTGGTGCGCACGGCCTGGGTTAGGGCCTCCAGGCGGTCCCTGAACTCCAACATGTAAGGTACAATGGGGGTCCCATCTGAACTACTCTCTCTCTCCCAATGCTCTCTAATTAGGTCCAACGGTCCTCTCACTCTTCTCCCAAACAACAATTCGAAAGGGGAAAATCCAGTCGACTCCTGTGGTACCTCTATATAAGCGAAAAGCAGATGGGGTAGAAATCGCTCCCAGTCCTTATGTGCCTCTCCAAACGTACGAAGCATCTGCTTCAGGGTACCATTAAACCTCTCGCATAAACCATTGGACTGGGGGTGATATGCTGAATGTACTATCGGCTTAATGCCACATATCCTCCACAGTTGTTGGGTGACCTCGGCGGTGAACTATCAGATTTGATCTCCTGGGGGAACCCTACCCTGGAGAATATTTTCATTAAGGCCTCGGCCACAGTTTCTGCATGAATATTAGAGAGGGCGATGGCCTCGGGGTACCGGGTGGCGTAGTCCACAACGGTCAAAATATATTTCTTACCTGAGGGACTAGGCTTGGGCAACGGTCCCACTATGTCTACTGCCACTCTACTAAACGGTTCTTTAATAATGGGAAGGGGGCACAATTTAGCTTTGTGGCGGTCACCCCTCTGCCCCACTCGCTGGCAAATGTCACATGAGTTGCAGTAATGCCTCACATCTTTGGAAATCCCTGGCCAGAAAAAGGCGTGGGTCAGCCTGTACCGGGTACGTGTCATTCCCAGACAAGGGAATATCATGCGCAATCCTAAGCAGTTCTTGCCTATACTTTTGAGGAACTACTAACTGTTTAGTTGTTACTGTGACTGATCCCCCTACTACTCTTTCCGCAATACGATACAGTAGCCCTTTCTCCCATGTATACCGCTCCCCCTCTAACCCGGCCTGATCTGTGCTCACCCTGTCTCTGTAGACCTGCAGCGTGGGGTCTAACTTCACCTCCGCCCCAAATGTAGTCGGGGTATCCCAGGTCATACGTGTCGCATGGGGGTCATTGTCTCTTACCTGAGCCTCAGAGTGTGTTGGTGGAACCGTGGTGTGAGCCTGCTGCCGGGTGGTCACTGGATGGGCTTCCTGGAGTGGAGCCTGAGGTATAAAAGCAGAGGTCATCCGGCCCAAGTAATTTCCTAGCACAACATCTGCAGGTAACTTCTGCATCAGGCCCACTTCTACCATCCCCTCCCCAGCACCCCAGTTCAAATGTATTTTGGCAGTGGGTAGTCGGTACCCGGAACCAAATGGGGTGCTACCAAAGTGAGGGTGGCTCCTGAATCCCGGAGCCCCTGCACTTCTTTCCACTCCAGCGTCACCAGCTGGCGATGATGTTGCCAGTTGTCAGTGGCTTGCACCAACATCACTTCATGTAGTATTCCCAGGGGTTCCTCTGCCTGAGTGCTCAGTATCTCATGGGTGGCTGGCTCTACTTGGTAATGATGTGCAGCGGCCCTTGGTGCAGGGTTCTGTCGGACTTGGTTCCACGCTTGTCGGCTCCGATTCTGCGTGCACTCCCGAGACATATGTCCCCACTGTCTGCAGGTTTGGCACTGAATATTAGCTCTGCCATTGTATCATGAAGGTGGAGGTTGGTTCCCCTGGGTTGGTCTAAAGGGGGTTGTTGTGGTAGCTGTAGGCGTAACTGCACTGGGTTGCAAAGTAGGTCGAGGGTAACTCTGATTCAGGTGCCCGTGATGCCTCCTGGCATCAAAATATTGGTCTGCTAATCGGGCCGCTTCAGTTAGGGTGAGGGGTTTTCGGTCTCTCACCCATTCTTGTGTCTCTGGAGACAGGCCATTAAAAAATTGTTCTAATAACATCAATTGCCGTAACTCTTCCATAGTGTTGGCTTGGCTGGCTTGTATCCACCCCTGTGATGCTTGATCCAGCTTGTGAGCCCATTCGGCATGAGAATCTTTCTCCGGTTTGCGCAATCCTCTGAATTTGCGCCGGTATGCCTCCGGGGTAATGGCATATCTTTCTAGTATGGCTCTTTTTACTTTAGTATAATCCTTGCTGTCCTCTCTGGGTACAGCGCGATAGGTTTCTGCTGCCCGACCTGACAGTTTGCCTGCTAGTAACGGTACCCATACTGCCGGCTCCAAGTCATGTAAATCACACAGCCTCTCGAAATCTTGCAAATACCCATCAATCTCATCCTTCCCCTCACAAAACATCTTGAATGCATGGTATGGGATTTTGGGTTTTACCTGGCTGTAGACGGGGCCAGTAATGGATTCTGCCCTGGACGGTGCCTCCTGTAGACGGTGTACCATCACATACTCCTGCACATCCGCCATCAGCACGGTCAATATTTCCAAGGGTACTGGCTGCGGCAGAAACTCCATCCTGGTTCTCATCTCCCTTTGGTATGGGTGGGGGTGGGGGTGTAACGCTGTGGGCACTGTCTCCCTCCATCAGCTCGGCGATCAGCACTGCTTTCGGCTTGTTGCTGGCTATCTTTCCCCTGGCTTCCAGCAGTTCTTTTGGTGTCTGCCTTTTCAATGCAGTGTAATCCGTCCCCATTCACTTTCCTCGTTCGGAAGTTTCACTTTATCCGATTGTAGCAGAGCGGCAATATTAAATCCCACGATCTCCGCTGGTAAAGAAAGTAATCCACAGTCAGCGCTGAAAAGTAAGGCAATATGCCAAATCCCCCAGTAACCGGACGAGACACAGTTCTGGGAGTCAACTGAGGTCTTTATTCACATGCTCCAGTATTTATGCAATTCCCCATGCAAAGGGTTTCCTGAGTCACATCACAGGGGTATTACAGGAGTGGACTACATGGGAAACTTAAATCACAGAGCATTTCTCCCACCATGCACCGCTGTACAAGAGGGATATTCCCACTGGAATATCCTGTTAAGTGGATTATCCCTCCGTACAGCAGAATCGGCTTTTAAAATAAAAATACATAACTTTTACAATACTTGGGTGATTTAAACGAATGGACGTTCGGTAGATAGCTGGGGTCTGAGCACACCGTTCGTGAGAATAGCGTTCAGCTCCCAGCTAAAACAACCGAACGCTGCACGAAATACACTTTGCCCATGAGTTCGTCTAAAACTACCGAACACTGATGGGGAACTATAATAGGGGAATACCGGAGCTCCCGAACGGCCTGGAAGTCCAGCGGGGTTCGCGCCGTCGAGTAGCCGATTTCGGCTCCACGCGCTCGACGACCAAACCCCGCTGGTGAGACAAAGGATCCAAGATGGCCGACTGCCGCGTGGTCGGTAGCCGAACAACGGCCATCTAGGAAAGCCTTTAATCACCGATTGCAACACTGTTGCAATCGGTTAACGAGCGCCACACATCCCTCTGTGTGTGGGCTATTAGGGGGTAGCTCATTCGGTTCACGAACAGCCGGTAAAGTTGCTGTCTGTGAAACAAAACACATGAATGCTAGCGGCTTTCGGCTGCTAGCATACGAATTCAAAGTACACATACATTAACACACATTGTACAGCCAGGTTATACAAGACATTACAGGGTTCTACAGGCAACCTTTTTATGTGCACAGTCCTGAATATTACAAGTGGCTAGGTTTGCCACACATACATACACACAGACTGCTAAATACATGCACACAGTCCGCTAAACACACACAAACATACGCACAGTCCACTGAAAACACCCACACAGTCTGCTGAATAAATACACTGCTGAATACACATACACACAGATAGACTGCTGAGTACACACAGTCTGCTGAATACATTACACATAGGGTCGCCACCAGAAGTTTTGGGGCCCCTAACTCAGCTCAGGGTCTGGGCCCCGCCTCCAAATACCACCCACAGGAATTCACACACAGACACAAAAACACACTGATACAAAAGGACACAGATACATACAAACAGACACACATACTGAAACAGACATACACGCATACATACTGACACACACATATTGAGACATACACACATATACAGACACAGGCATACTGAAACAGACATACACGCATACATACTGACACACACATACTGAGACATACACACATATACAGACACAGGCATACATAGTGACAGACAGACACATACTAACATACATACAGACACACATGCAAGAGGACATAAAGACACATACATACACAATGACATACATACAGACACCCACATACATACACATATACAGACATACATACATTCATACATACAGACAGACACTGACATCCATACACACATACATTGATAATGGCATACAGACATACATACATACATACATTCAGACTGACATACATGCATATATACAGACATACTGACAGACATACATACATACTGACATACATGCATACAGACAGACATCCATACCGACATACGTTCATAATGACATACAGACATACATATATACATACAGACATACATTCATACTGGAAAAGATACATACATTCATATATACATACATAGACATACAGACATGCATACAGACATGCATACAGACATGCATACAGACATGCATAGACATACTGACATACATAGACATACATACTGACATACATAGACATACATACAGACATACATACATACATACATACATACATAGAAATACAGACATACACACACACACACACACAAAGCTCATTTTTCAGCCACCCCCCTGTCTCTTACCTTTTCTTTGCAGGAGGGTGGTTGGGGCTGATGGGAGTAGTTGGCATGGCTCTACCTCAGTGCCGGGGGCGCGCTCCTCCCACGCGGAGTGAGCTGGGAGGAAGTGACCACTGTGTGGGGGTTAGGGGTGCTGTGTGTGGGGGTTAGGGGTGCTGTGTGGGGGAGTAGGGGTGCTGTGTGGGGGAGTAGGGGTGCTGTGTGTGGTGGGGGGGTTGGGTTGCTGTGTGTAGTGGGGGAGTTGGGGTGCTGTGTGTGGTGGGGGGGTTGGGGTGCTGCGTGGGGTGGTGGGGAAGATACATTTAATTTTTTTTATATATTTATATAAATATATTAAATCTGTTTCCCCCCCTTCTTCTTACCTTTGGTGAAGGAGGGGGGGAGACAGCCATTCATGGTGGTCCGGTGGTGGTATGTGTCTGGGATGCAGCTCTTCTGTC